GTCCCGTACAATATATTCGTTATAATCCAAATACGGGAAGAAATTGTATCGCTTCTGCACTTCATCACTATCCGTCTCTATCAAATTCCCCAGCGCCAAGACACATCCTAAACAGGAAATAGTGATAAAGCATTACAGATAGCAGTGAAGCTTCAAAATCCATCCATAAAAAAAGTGATTCTATTTATTGATAACACCGGAACATATCAAACTTTCGAATGATACCAGGACTAGTGCACGTCTACTACAAGCTAATGTAGCAAAATCAGAAGAAAAGGGAATATCGGTTAGTTCACCACGTACACTTATTTCCAACGCTAACGAACAGTCAGCGATGATCAAGAAGTGGATTTCTGACGCAAAAATATCGAAAAAGCCGCCATGACACTTAATCATTAACAAGAGTAGACGAAAAAGCGAATCCAGTTGCAAAATGAAAAGACGGTATAAAGGTGATGCTTGCAGCGCCCAAAACAGAGGCTGAAGGTAATAACCTTATTATTAGACCGTATTTCATGCTGTATAACTCTAGGAAAAAAATACGAAAAAAAAAAACTTTGCAAAGAAAGGTACCATTTGGCAAGGTCATGTCAAAATGAGGGTCAGGCTGTTGTCGTCCGACAACCTTCAACGTATCATAACGTGTCAGCTTGTTCTGTGCATCTGCGCGGACAACTGACGAATTTACGCCATAATAAATTTCTCCAAGTGCCACCTACAAACACTATGCAGCTACTTCGGTGCATCTCCGAACATGCATCACTACAAGGCATGTCTGTAGAAGTATTTCAATTGAATCAAACATACAGATAACTCAATGGTAAATTGAAAGTCATCTTTCGAAATGCCCGCCACCCATTGCTACCCCAAAGCACACCTCAACCAATGAATTCAAAATTTAATAAAGTATATCTCGCAAAAGCGCCGGCGCTGTGGGATACAGTACAGAAAGGAGCATCCGTAAGGGAAAGAACGCGTTGACTGTCTGGTTCAATATTGAAACAACAGCGTAATCAGCTTATATTTGGATCTGAAGGCTCAGAAATCCCGAATTCTAATCTGAAAGGCTGTGAGACAGTCAGCTGCAGGTAAAGGTGGAGAGCAATGAATGTAATGGATATGGGTAGAGAAAGGCTGAACAAAACGCACTAAAGAAGCTAATCCTTCATTTAAGAATTTGAAAGATGGTGTTCTTAAGAATTTGAAAGATGGTGTTCAGGATGAAAACTGCAAAAGACTGCTATACTTTTACCAAAAAAACGTTCTCATCTAAAACTCATCAAATGTACGTTTGCTTACCAAAAAACAAATGAAAAAAAGTAATACTTCAGGATTAAAAAGGGCACGCCAATCAAAAAATTTCACCTGACATAACAGCATGTACTTAGATCCACGTTCTGACGGCGTACAGTAATTTTCACTTTTTGCGAAAACGTCCGCAAAGTAAATACCCTGAAAAGTAAGCCTTTTCCTGACAATAATGTTGACAAACGATTATAGTGATGCAACCAGCAAAACAAAAAAAAAAAAAAACAACAGTAATAACAACAACAATAATAATAACAACAATAATAATAACAACGACAATAATAAAAGTAACAATAATAATAATAATAATAAGAGCCATGCAGTCGTTGCTCGGTGCAACTCAAAGCAGCTGTATATCCAGAGATCTAGCAAAACTAGCCTTCCATACTCTAGCAAACTCCTATACAGCATCCGATAAGGGATAAAAATAGAAGAGTCACCAGTTGGTAAGCTGATGGAACATAAAAACAGCGGATGCAAGTTTTCTCCCAAATAACAAAGGCTGCATTTTACTCCACGAAAACAGCGAAAGGAAGTAAAAAAAAGCTACGACCACTATCTGGATAGGTTACAAGGTGATGTAGCTTCGGCCACAGGCTGCAGATACGTTATTGGTGCAAAGGAACAATATGACAAAACACAGCGATCACAGTAAATCATAATAAGAATTAAAAAATTAATATTTAACAGAAAACAGGGAATGCGGTAGAACTAATAAGGTTTTTTATGAAAGCCCCTAGAAGTACATGAGTTCAAATACTACAGCCAGCGGGCAGATTCCGAAAGGTTGCACGGAACTATCTTCATCGGCTAGCAAGGAGATTATCGGATACTCTAAAGCCAAGAAATTACTGCACTTTTTTTTTTCTTTTTTTTTGAACACACAAAGCACTGCAGTAAAATTTCTGTCTCTTTTTTTACACATTCGTAGCGTTATTCAAGCACATTATCTAACTGATAAAGAATAAATTC